AATTAAAGCTGGAATCCTGTTTACCAATCTTAGTAGATGGGCCAATTAAAGTAATGGTTCTAGAGAAATGATTTTTTATTTTTTTCGGTGGCTAGCCGGTATGGGGATCTGAACCTTTGATCTTGGGTGCTACAACACTGTGCTCTGACCAGCTGAGCTAAACAGGCAGCTGAGAAATGATTCTTAATCAAGAGTAGGTGGCATTCCAGAAACTCCCAAGATTGGCAGAACAAGGATAGGATGTATAGTTTGAAAGTCATATTCAATATAATAATTTAACTATATATGGGAAACTATATAACTTATTTTTATAATATAAACTTAAGAAAATGAAAGATGACGTACTCTTGGCTGGTGAGGATAAGAGGTTGGATATTATAGATCGAAGTGGGAGGGGATGTTTATGAGAATGGAGAGGAAGTATGGAGATTTTAATGTTTCCTAAAAGAGGCCATGAATTTAAAAAAGATTAAAAGACACCATTCTACAGAAAAGTTGAAGATTCCTGGCCGATTAGGTGATCTTTGGTGAGGTGGCTTTATGAAGTTGCCAAACTTTATCTATACCAAGGAATATTCTCTGAAATAGCTCTATGAAAATCATTAGGCTAATTAGGCTAATTACTACAGGGATTAATGCATAATATCACACAGTGCAATTTGAGAAGAGAGTTTTCTTGGTCCTCAGGTACCATTACAAGTTTTTTTAAAATTCCATTTTATGACCATTCCATAAAGCATAGAAATGATTATATTCCTCTCTGCATTAGTTACGGAGCTCAGAGCCAAAGCTATGGATCTCTTCCAGCAGAAAAAAGAAGCTTTTAATATGCAGGTACTAACCTCACCTCTGCTTTCATCCTTTTCTTCCATATTTATTTCACCCCAAGTTCTTCAATTACTTTATCTTTTATCACATAGTACTGGATGTATCTTATGGAACAAGGCAGGGTATAAGTAAATCTAAAATATGCAAAGCCCTATGGTAGGGACTAGGGAATATACAAGTATGAATCAGAAGTTGTGGCCTTATCTTAATGCCTTCAAGGAGCTGGCCCTCTGGTTGGGGAGAAGATACACATAAGGCAAACCACTCTGAGGGCAAGGTTAAAGAGGAGTGTGAACAAAGTACAGGACAGTGCCAAGCAGGAAGCACAATACACACCAGAAAGCTGAATCAAGAATAAGAAACACCCCTTTCTGAGGCGCCCTCTGCATCTATCCACCATTGCACTGATGAGCCTATGTGGAAAAATTTGTTTACACGTGCTGCCCCTGTTAAGGCACTGAGTTTCAGGCAGAGCAGGAGGAACCCTGCCTTACTCATCTTTGTATCCCCAGGGCCCAGCCCAAAATCTGGCAGTCAGTACATGCTCAATAAATGTCTGCTAAAAGAATGAGAAAGCTTTTAGCAAGGAGAGAAGTGAGCAGGCAATCCAGGCAGAGTGACCAGCATAAACAAAGAATGCCTCTACAGTGAGACCAATGTCCAGGGTGCAAGAATGTGGGGTCCAGTGAGAGCTGAGGCTGGAAAAAGTCTGAGGGCTTCGAACGACACTTGGAAGGCAATGTCTTCACCATTTTTTGGTAAGCCCTACACATTCTAGTTTCTATAATACTTCTTGTTTAGAGAGCATTCTTTCTATATCCAGACTCACCACAGTTGTATATGAAGGGTCACATTTGTTGTTTAACTTCTAAAACCCTACCTGGTATTACTTAGTCTAGCAAGGGAGAATAGTGCTAAAGATATGACCTGTCCAGAAAACAGCCTGAACAGGCTGTTCTGACTGAAAGTACATCTTACGGAAGGGAGATTAACCATTTAACCAGCTAGAATCAGCTGGATCATCTCTGAAGCTTACCAGTGATAAATGTCATAAGCGCCCTCAGACGCTGACGTAGTCCCTACACCATGTTCTGAGTGGTTAGCTGGACTTGGTAAAACACTTAGGCAAACACAAAGAAATACCCAAGGACAATAGAGACTTGATTCCAGGTTCAGACTCTCTGAGAAGCCAATGACTCCCTAAGAAAAATAACAAATGACAATACTTCTACCATCAAGAAAGAAGACCAGGAAGATTCCAGGACACACACAAAAAAGAAGAAACAGGATTAGCATTTAAAAATCTGGAAGGGTACATGCTGTTTAAATGGAACCATGGAGAGAGAAAGTTTTCAGATTCAAATTTGACAAGAATAAGAGAAGGCACTTACTAAATAACAGGAAAGTACAAATCACTTTAATGATTCATATGCTCTGCCCCAGGATAAGAGCTTAGCAATGCTAACCTAAGTTACTGCCTCTGTTTCCAGTGCATGATTATACTGAACATTTAATATACACTGCTTCATGCTACTGAGGAAACAGAGTACAGTTTCTATCAAATGGGGTTCCTACACTGGAGGAGCTTACAATTTGCCAGGGGACTTTGAGGCCATATCCAACAAACTTAAGCAAACAATATAAGGCTGCAAACACTGAGTGACAGAGGAAGAACAACTACTTGTGCAGATGGTGAGACTCAGACAAGTAGTAACAAGAGTATGAGAGTTTAAGTGAAAACACCCAGGAGTATAGCACAAGAACACTTAATGTGAGCTTAATTCAAAGTCTGAACTTCATGTGCAGGTAATAGGTAGGGTGAACACAAAGTTTATGGTATAAACAAGAGACACTTCTGAAAGTAAAAGGCACACTATAATTAACAGATGGTAGTTATCTAAAATAAGCACGGACTGGCATGTTGCAGGGAAAGTGGTGCCCAAGCAACAGGGAGCCATTGAACATATATTTCTGGATTCAGGTGACGGCAATGAGAATAGAATGAGATCAATGTAAGACTTAGTAACTGACTAGATATGGTGGGAAAATAAAACATCTAGGTGAATACTCCTTCATAGAGAACATGAAATTTGGTGGGAATCACTACGAGCTTGAGTTTAAAGACGGGACAATCAAGTAGAAGTGTCCAGTGAGAAAAGAGAGACACAGGACTAGAGCAGAGGACAGGCGTTTGGAAATAACATAAAGAGATTTATATTCGTTGTAGTTATGACAGTGGATGAATAACAGCCAAAAGATAATCCCATTATCAAATTCTCATTTAAAGTTTTATCAATTCTCATACTCTTCAATTCCCTCCACTCACAATGGTTGAGCCCCCCCAACCTCACATTTGCCCTGCCGAATCTCAAAGAACTTATAATTTCATTCAATTACCAAATTAAACCTCTCTGGCATTTCTTACATTTTCAGAGAGCTTTTAAAATATATTTACTAATAAAATTTCCCTGTTTTATGTTTTAAACTAGACAATATAAAAACTGGGAACATAATACCTCTCCCCACAAATAATCTTTTTATTTTTGGCTAATGGACTGATTCAAATGTTTTTAAATGCTTTGATTACTTTTTCAGAGAAACCTAGCTGTTGCTTGCAACTAGAGTATCCAGCAAAGGAGGAAAAATACTTTTGCACAACTAGGTGTGAAAATACGCAAGTGAGGAAAGTATTAATGTTTTCTTCCCAGTAAGTGTGTAAGGGTGGAGAAATCTGGGTAGATGAAGAGACAAGTACAAGGATGTCTACACTCAGGCAAGCTAGGATCACAGAGAACCTTAGGATCCCAACCTTGGCCAGCAAAGAACACTGCTTCTCCCCCAGAGTAGTCCTAGGAAGTTTGGCACAAAAGCAGAGTGAGTGCACTGATCAGGCTGAGCAGCTAACTCCATCCTCTACAAGTGATTAGGAGGAAAAAATAATGAAGTAGCAGTTTTCTGTCATGCCATACAGGGGCCTGTCTCAGCACTCTCCTTGGCTCATGAGAAAATATAAGTACTATATAAGCCTCACAGACAGGTTCGAAAAATCAGTTGTTAGCAGTGATTTGACAAGTTTCATATTCTGTTGAGACAATTAAGAGCCCATATCCGAGGTTTGAAGGCTAAAGCTTAGTTACTGGATTAGGATGGCACTATTCTCCATAGGGGAGGGCTTCAGAAGATTAATTGTCTCTATTCTCATTCCATTAGCAACACAGCGTGGACTGATTTCCACCTCAGGTGAAAAATAATAGAAGCCGTTCACGCAGCTCAACACAGAAAACTTGCTTACTTTGAAATAATTTCTCATTAATACAAAAGAACAGATAGAATTAAGAGTATTTTGTGCTTAAAACACATTGGCTTATCCTACACTCCCTATTTCCCTGACTGCTTCAACATGAAAACACACACTGGGCTTTGCACTCACTACTATAAACTCTGCCATAAGTCTGCATTACAGAAAAGCAAAGCCAGGCACTTAAGAGAGAGAACAGGTTCAGGTAAATTAGAGTTTAAAGACAACAAACAGAATGCTTGTCCTCCAGCACCTTCATCGTGCCTCCTCCAGATGCTAACCTACACTACCATCAGAAGAGAGAGTTGAGGGCCGGCCCAGTGGCGCACTGGATAGTGCGCCGCTTGGGAAGCGCGGCGGTGCTCCCGTCCGAGGGTTCGGATCCCACATACAGACCGGTTCCCGCTCGCTGGCTGAGCGAGGCGCGGGAGCAACACCAAGGCTTGCGATCCCGTTGCCGGTCCCCGGTCCGGTACGGGGGCAACACTGAGGGTTGCGATCCGTTGCCGGACACGGAAAAAAGACAAAAAAAAAAAAAAAAAAAAGAAGAGAGAGTTGAGAATGTCTCAAGTATAGAAAGGGTAATGAGTTTTTAAAGCCACGTGAAATTTTCTGAACCTCTCAGCAACACTAGTGGGGTTTGTATACATCTGAGTCATGCCCTAGTGAAGAATCAATTTTATGACTAAGATTTCCTATGAACGTCAATGGCTACTTTTGCTTCACAACAACAAAAACAAAACAAACAAAAAAAACAGTATGTGAAGGACTGTTCACACCAAAGCCTTTACATCTCCCCAAGGGGTACTAAGAACCGGCAAAGGAAGGCAAACTTCAAAAGCTTTCCCAACAAACACAATTCAGGGATAAGGGATTCAATGTGCAAAATCTTTTATTTAAAATTTTGAAAAGTTAAGACTTAACGACCACCTCAGTATATGCCATTCCCATTATAAGGAGGTATGACGGTTTCAAACTAGTGCAGAGCTGCATTTTCATTTACAAAACTCGTAGGCACTTTAGAAGTGAAGCTTGGCTTCAAAATACAAACACTGGGGGCTTTGGCTCAACCTTTTAATATAAAAAATTCACTGATGTACAAAAATGTGAAAGTGTGACAATGACAATATATGAAATCCTGTGATTGAAAGTCCCCTTGAGTGCACTCTGTGGTGCACATGCACCCACCCACACATACTCTGGTGTGGAAATATAAACTAACGCAAACAGTGCTATCAAGAAGCACCAACACATGTGTTGTCCATTCCACCAATCACAGACCAATATCTACTCCAAACATTCAGTAACAAAAAGTACAGCATCTTCCCAGGAACACAGCAAGGGAGACTTCTTACTCACGATGGACCAGCACAAATAAACCCAGCAAAAAGAGTACTGCATACTAGAAAATAAACACAGAACCACAAGTCAGAAAAGCATTTAAAAGTTCGCAAGTCCTCAGAGTTAATTAATAAACTGGCTTTTGTGACCATAATAAATTACTAAACTATCTAGTTATTCTTTCACCTTTTAACTGTAATTCATTTAATAGTTTCCAAAATTAAGCAAAAGATCACATTTTTAATGAAACGTCTAGTATAGGCTCTTACCTTAAATTTAGGGTAGTCATTCATGAGGATCGTCACAATTCCAATATAAGGAACAAATCTAAAACAAACAAACAAAAAACTGATCATCACAGAACCTCCTAAGTAAAGCAGCTGTTATCATTTGTTGAACATTATCAATATCTTCCATAAAATACTAATTTTCAGTTCACAAAGACCATTTGTATATATTGGCCTATTTAATTCTTTTGACAGCCCATGTGACAGGGAAGTTAGGAATATCACCATTTTATAGATGAGGAAACAGATGATCATGCCCAAGGTGCATGGCTTCTGTGTGGTAGAACTTGTACCGGATCCAGTCTCTAGTGGGTGACTCTAATGCTACATGCTGATACAGTGCTAAGGGCAGGGTTTGTCATCATAACCTTTAGGGAGCTGTCAATCTAGTTGGGGAGACAAGGCAAACACAACCAGAACATTACAAGGTACTTCATGTTAAGTGGCCAAAAAGGGAGTGTTAAGAGCTCTATTATAATACTTAGGATTTCACCACCCTCTCATTTTTTAACCACCTGTAATCTGGGTTTTGCCATCTTAATCCTGAAACTTTTCTAGAACAGTTTGAATCACCATCTGCAGCACACCAGTCTCAACCCCCATTTTCCTTTACATCTCTGCAGCATTTGACTTTGATGACCACAAATTTGCTCTTGAAATCCCTCCACCTTGGTTTCTGTTATGTACTTCAAATCTGTTTCTCCACCTACTTTGGATGCTACACCTTTGTTTTTTCCTTAGCTCTTTCTTTCCTCTTGCCCCTAAAGTTTGTCCCCTCAAGCTAGGTAAAACCACCTTAAATAATCTGGTAGTATCTCATATATTTCCTTCAAGGTCTTTGTCATAATTGTAATTAAACGATTAGTTGTACAACTAGCTGTATAGTATCTGTCTGTCCTACTAGACTCTAAGCTCTCTAATGGCAACAACAAAGCCAATCTTGTTGCCCCTGTATCCTCAAGACCAACAAAGTGCCTTGGCACATACCAGGCATCCAGTAAATACTGGCTAATTGAATGTTTGAATGTCTGGGTCTCTTCTTTTCACACTCACTTTGGGAAATCTCATTTTCTCCCATGATTTCTCTTCAATTCTCCCCTCCATGCAAAAGCAAAAGACTCCTCAACATCATAAGCATTCAGGGCAGAAAGAAAAAATCAGCAGGGTACCATCCATGTGAGAAAAAAAGGTGGTCAGCAAATGTACAACTTCTTTTTCCTCATCTACTGCTAGACTCCGCAGTGGATTGGGTGATACTGTAATAAGCTACAGAAGAGAGGTTGGGCTGAAGTGGATGCTGACTTCTGAACACTTTAAAATAGCCAAGATACTTTTATTCAGAGTACTCACAACCTTTGCACCATGCCAACGGCAGCACAAACAGAAATTACTTCCCACATAACACCTCCACCATCAAAGCCTTGGGCACACTTGAAGAGCAGATATTTTGTCTTTGGTGCATTTCACTTCCTTTTAAAAAGAACCCTCCTTACTTCCTGTCTCCTGTCCTCACCCCTTCCTGACCCGCTCCTTTCTGGCAGCATTACCCACACCTCTCTCTCCCCCTCTACCCCCAAACTCCTGTTCCATACATTGGTGTTTGTTAAAACCTAGACCTCCTTTGTCAGAACCACTTGGACGGCTTGTTAAAAATGCAGATTTTTACATCTTCCAGATTTACTGAGGCAGAAAACCTCTGTAAAATGGCGCCAAAATGACACTGTTGCACACTAAAGTTCAAGATGCATAGTTCTAGTGTGAGATGCATAGCATAGGTGTGTGGTGGCACATAACATCCCCTCCTAGGGCTCATGCTTTAGTCTCAACTCCAGGACCTCCAAGAGCCGAAAAGTAACAGTCACTACAGAATGCCACTGCTAAGTTCTAGGAGGGTGAATAGATGTTTTCTGTTTCTTTTTAATGCAGTATCTGTTATTTCTTTTGTCTCTCTCTCTCTCTTTTATTTTTTGGTGGCTGGCCGGTATGGGAATACAAACTCTTGACCCTGGTGTTATTAGCACCATGTTCTAACCAACTGAGGTAACCCACCAGCCCTCATCTCATTTTTAGCACCTTCATAAAAGCAATCACTTTCAGTGAAGGTAAACCATCTAATTTAAGAACATAAAGGCAAACGCCTCACAGTAAAATGCAGATTAACAGCTATAAAAGCAAATGTGACTTCTACTAAAACATCTAGCTGCTAATTCTGATCTGATGATCAATAAACAGCCACTCGCATGCATACAGACTTCGTTACCTCCATAAAATGATATCTATGCTGAAAGAACCACAGCCATTGGCTCCCAACAACTGCACAGTCTGCTTATGAGTAATCCATGCAAACATTTTTTTTCAAGGTTGGCTTTTCCTTGCGCACTGTAAGTGAAATGAAAGCAACTTCATCTTTAGGAGTAATATAAGCAAGACATAAGGCTGCCAGAATATGATGAGGCAGTCAAAAGTCAAACAAGAGATTTAATTATCTGGACCACTGTTTCCCTCCATGGACAGACATATCAAAGGATTGATGATCAAGTGCATAATGCTGCTATCATCAGACACCTTAAACTCAAACCAGCTGCACTTTTTCCTTTTCTACTCCGATAGACTCATATGCTAAAGCAGAGCTGTCAATAAGTAGAAAAAGGTTTAAAATAAGCAAAGTAAATACCATCCACAAAGTCAACTCCAACACCAGTCTATGCCAAGTTAACATCTAGAAGGTAAATACATTTCCTATGGTTAAATACAGTTCTTGGGATCAAAGGTGCTGCTGAGAAAGTTGCCTCAGAAGAAGGAACTATCTGCTGATATTTTGGGAGAAAATGAATAGAGACCATTAGACAAAAGGCAAAAAAAAAAAAAAAAAAAAAAAAAAAAAAAAAAAAATGAATAGAGACCATTAGACAAAAGGCAAAAAAAAAAAAAAAAAAAAAAACAGAAAAGAAAAGATGACACACAAATTAAGAGGAGACCCCAGCAGATGTCAAAAGGGATCTGTATCTGGGAAGTTCAGACTCCAGTAGCCGACTTAATAAGAGAATATGCAACAACCAAAAATGGATTGAATGACCTGTTTCAAGTTAAGTAAAAAATTCACTTTAAAAGCCTTTCCAGAGGCTGGTCTGTTAGCTCAGTTGGTTACAGTGTGGTGCTGATAATACCAAGGTCCGCAGTTCAATCCCTGCACTGGTTAGCTGCCAAAAAAAAAAAAAGATAATAGCCTTATCCATAAAACTGATTTCAGTCAATAGAGAGCTCCATTACTCTGCTCCTTCCTTATACTTGTATTCATCTTTTCATTGTCGATATTTCTATTCCCTGATCTTCTGCCAGTCTGTCATTCCCTTATCTTGGTGCTCTCTACTCTTTGACTAACAGATCCTCTTGTGCTTTTCAACTTCCTGAATTTAGAAAGAATCATCATTATTAAATGTTTAATGGTCCAGTATTAGTTTTATTTTCTAAAATTATTTTTATTACATGCTGCAACATGAATGAACCTTGAAGACGTTATGCTAGGCGAAAAAAGACAGACACAAAAGACCACGGGTTGTATCATTCCATTTATGAAATGTCCAGAAGAGGCAAATCAATACAGACAGAAAGCGGATTAGTGGTTGTCAGAGGCTGAAGGAAGGAGGGGATGAGAAGCAACCACTAATGAGTACAGAGTTTTATTTCTGGGGTGATGGAAATATTTTGGAATTAGATAGTGGTAATGGTTGCACAACCTTGTGAATATACTAAAACCCACTGAACTGTACACTTCAAAATGGTGAATTTTATATCCCAATATATGTGAATTATATCTCAATAAGATTTTTTTGAATTTAGGGCCTTAGGCCTCAAGTGTAAAATTTCTTAGTGTGCAGGCGTTCAACTAAAAAAACCCCAAAATATTCTTTTAAATGCATAAAGACATTGTACCACAGTCACAGACTTGCCTGCAGTAAAACCCTATTCCTTTTGTTGTTTTGTTTTGCGGCTGGCCGGTAGGGGGATCTGAACCCGTGACCTCAGTGTTACACCACTGGGCTCTAACCAATTGAGCTAACAGGCCAGCCCAAAAAACTGTATTCACAAGCTTTGGGTACTGTCTGACTTTGAAATATCAGTTTAGTGTTTTATAAACACAATTTCCACAAAATAAGGTGATACGTTCCATGATGTGTCAAGGTAAGTGGTGGTATAATCAATGAAAAGTGAATTCGTACAGTTAAGATTCTGTGCTCCTGCTGTTCATGTCCCAGATGTTTTATACCTCATGGAAAGTTACTTAGTTCAGAGTACCAGACTATTACATTTTTTTATTAAAAGCCACCAAAAAGATCTATATTTTTAATGTTGGGATTTTAGAAAGAGCATTATACATAGCTAGGGATTTTTTTAAAAATTCTTCAGAAAGACAAGTTACTTGAGTGAAAGTGTGACTCCTCTGACTTTTCATAAGATGATGCATCTTTTACCTAACCAAAGGGCCAGAGTAAGCAGACAGAGCTGTAATAAACACGTAAGAATCAAGACCCAGATAAAGAAACACTGTTATACTGCTAGAAGTATAAATAAAATGTGGCAAAATTTGTCAAAAGTCTTAAAATATGCATGTTTCACCCAGTAATTCCACTTCTAGGAATTTACTGTGAAGAATGATTGTGCAGAGGCAATGAGAAATATGTAACAAGGATGTTCATCCTAACATTGTTCACAATAAAAAAACTGGAAACCATCAGCATCTACCAACAGGAGACTGACTAAACAAAAGTATGGTCTACCCATATAGTGGAATAGCATACAGCTTTACAGATGATGATACGGAGAGAAATCTATTGATATACATATATATTTGATTTATAAATATACTAGTTTGGGGGTGAAAAAGGGTTATAAAACAATGTGACCATTGTCCTCCCCATATACAAAATGTGTTTATGTATGTATAAACACGTATCTATTAATATCTGCTCCTTTCTCTCTATACACAAAAGCTAAAAGAACATAAACCAAAAAGTTAACAGTAAATATTTAAGAAGAGAGAAGAGGAGAAGAGGAATGACTTTGCTTTTTGATGACTGGTATTTCCTTATGTTTCTACATGAATTTGTACATTTACAATTAGAGGAAAAACAAAGACTCAAAGAGGTTGATGAGTCTAAATAACCACCTTAGCAGCACCTTGGGAACTGAAGGAGATGGGGATTTTTAAGTACGGATGACCTAATTTGGATTATAAAAGTATTTTTAGCTCCATTATAGGAAATGAAGTTCCTCTGAAGTGGGGGCATGCACAAAAGAACAACTCTGCAGGGGACAAACACAATGGTGTCTGTTCTCATCTGATCTCTTTTGCCCCAAACTGAGCATCTCTCGTGCTATAACTGAGGCAGCTTTTGCTTAGTAACTTGTACTTCCTTCTCTAGGGGAACACAGTTTCTCAGGGTGGTGGCCTGCTCTCTAGTATAACTCTGTATCCACTCAGTCTGTTCTAGGTCAGCAGGAACATAGGTTCTGATAGTGGCAAGTGCATCATGTGGCATCTAAATAGCGAGAACCAACAACTACCCATTTCAGAAATGTTATACCCGTAGTTTTGGTGTGATGGTTAAGAGGGGGTCTCCAGAGACAGCCAGCCACTTATCATCAATGTGATCCTAGATAAGTAACCTAACTCATCTGTGTTTCCTCATCTGTAGAATGGGAATATTAGGGTTGTTCTGATGTTAAAATGAGGTAATACTTGTAGGGCACTTAGAATGAGTCTTGGTACATAGTAAGCTCTAACAAAGGTGAATTATTGTTAATACTATTAATAACACGAAGGTAGTAAGATCCCATGCTTCCTTATACCAGTAACTTACAATTCCTGTCCTCCACTGATCTGTTCTCCTGATAAAATCTGAAATAAACAGGCTTAATATAACTTTTTAATTTCATTTGACCTCATCAATTTCAAGACTATAAATAAAACAGTATGGAATAACACAATAAAATTAAAGTAGGTGAACACTTTAAGTTGCTGACTCAGTAAATTCTTAAGAAATGTAAGTTTTATGAAGCAGGATTAATACTGCTCTGGATCCCCAAAGCCTAGCACAGCATAGATATCAGAGCACATGGAAAGTGCCCAATAACATTTATTCAGTGAATTAAATAAAACAAATGAATTTTTAAAACTGTCACATCCAATTCACCATCTCATCACTAATATCCTGTTCTTTTATTGCACCCCAGTTCCTCCCCTCTGGAGTAGTATACCTGAAATTTTAGATGCATTTTAAGAAGCATACTTTTCAAAGGACACAAAGGTGATTCAGTGGAACCAGGACCAAATTGGTATATTCAATTGTGTACGATCAGACAATATGATTGAGAGGGCCATGTTTCAAGAGACCTGAAAAGCTTGATGGCTGGCCACTTAGCTCAGTTGGTTAGAGCATGGTGCTGAACACCAAGGTCCAGGGTTTGATCCCTGTACTGGCCAGATAGAAAAGAAAAGAAAAGCTCAAGATGCTCCCCTCTATACTTACCCCCGGGCTCTCCCCACGACGTCTTTTTTCTCTAGCCAATGTTGTCCTTGTTTATAGAGGCCTCGGTCATCAACCGCATTATTATCTCCTTTGGTCAAAAACTTGATATGTCCATTTTGCCTTTAAAAAGTAAGGGAAACCTAAGTCATCAAATACCTTCATGGCATTTGAAAGCACAAAATCTGCTCTTGTTAACCAAAAATTCCTGTGGCACTGTGGTATTTTATCACTATTCTTAGTATCAAATAATTCCTTATTTAGCTAAAAGGGTGTTCATAGCTGTGTTGTATATAATATGGAAAGACTACAAACAAACTAAAAGCCCAATATTAAAGAGCTGAAATATCATGCAAGCATTAAGAACAATGTTGTAGAAGAATATTTAATGACACTGGAAAACCAATTTTATTATTATTATTATTTTTTTTAAAGATGACCACTAAGGGGATCTTAACCTTTGACTTGGTGTTGTCAGCACAACAATCTCCGAAGTGAGTGAACTGGCCATCCCTATATAGGGATCCGAACCCATGGCCTTGGTGTTATCAGCACCACACTCTCCCAAGTGAGCCACGGGCCGGCCGTTGGAAGACCAAATTTTAAATGAAGAAAAGATTACAAAATAGCACCTACAGTATAATCTCATTTTTATATTAAAATATGTGTAAAATATCAATTTTCTGGAAATACAAAGAGCAAAGGAACATATTAAACTACCCCACAGGGCAAAATTGGCAAAACACAGACTATGGGAAAGTACAGAATGATCCAGTTTCTTCAACCAACAAGTTTCCAGGAACAAAGAAAGCTGGAGAAGAAATCTATAGATTAAATAAGAGACCATTAAGCTATATCAACCAATTGCAGCCAGACCTTATTTGGATCTGGATTCAAACAAACTGTTAAAAAAAAGTTATGGCTCAACTGGGAATTTGCACAAAGATTGAAAACTTAACCATACTAAGGAATTATTGTTCACTTTTTTTCAGTGTAACCATGCTAATTGTAGTTATGTTTTATAAAAGCCCAGTGATTATTTTTGTAGATATTTACTGAAATATTTACATATGACATGATGCGATGTCTAGTATTTGATTCAAAATAAAACAGGAGAGGGGGAGGAAGTGGGAGCATAGATGGGGCAGAACTGGCCATACATTACTGGGACTGGGCAATAGAACGATGGGGGCTCATCATCGTCTTCTGTGAATGTTTGAATTTCTCCAAACTCAAAATATAAAATGAAAGGGGAGAAAAAAAGGTACCAATCAAGATCTCGAATATCACAGACCAAGGTACAAACAGTGGCTGTCTTATGGCTTTCTTTAGCTTACCTTTGTCTTATTTTTCTCCAACCAATTTTTATATTAAGAAAAAAACTTAGTTTTAAAAGAAAAAACCCTTCAATTCTCTAGACACGCCAGGGTTTATAGGAACAGCATCTTGCTTGATCAGAAGATTATTAGCTTAATTCTACTAAAGAACAATGACATCTCTAATAATTTTAAAATTCAATCGAAAGCAAAGTATATTTTACAGTTGATTTTAAAAACCAGCTTAAAATTAATTCAAGTGAGTCTGGGTTAACCATTGTATCAGAAAGAAGAAAATTAATGTCAGATTTTTACTGACTAATACCCCACTTAGATTTTAAGTCAGAAACTGGCTCACTAGATGCTAAATCTGCAGATGAAACTAAATTGAGAGGTGTTTCAAACACCCAAGACAGTAAAGTGCAAACAGTCACATTAAAAATGAGATTCCAGTTAGAAAAAATGCAAATATATACAGAGAAAAATAATCTGTAGCTGACAATTCAGTAAGTGAAAGAATATCTGAAAAATACTGGAGGGTAAAAGAGGACAGGTGCCAGGAAGGGCCAGCTGCAAGAGCGAAAGTCAGGAGCAGCACGAAGGAAGAAGAGTCAACTCAACCATGAAAGTGACATCAACCCCACAGATGCAGAAAAGTAAAATCAGATGTGAGAAGAGAAAAACCAGGAAATGGGAAAAACCAGGGAAGGGAGGGGATGCTACAGGAGATCTGGGCTATTCCCAAAGACTTGATTTGCCAGCAAAACAAACACACCCAATTTCCCCCTTCTGAGATATAATCAGGGAGACCACTATAGCTTTTTTGAAAAAGCATAAATTTCCTCCATCTACTTAATGGTGGAACAAATATTCTCTGGTGGCAACCAGCTCTTATTAGACCTATTAAGATCTACTCTAGCAGTTCACAGCTCACAGGCTCAAAACATTGATTGAAGGTACATTTACATAGGACTTTTCTCTTGCTAGCACAGGGACCAAATATCTAATATTATCTAATCCCAAGGAATTCAAAGTGTTTAAAATTTAATCCATCACAATACCATGACATTAAGAAGGCAGAAATAACCACTTTACAGATGAGACAAAATAAGACCCCAAAAAAGCCAAATGGGTGCAGAACAACATATCTGTCTGTGCAGGAAAAGCAGAGCTATGGACTATGTCACCCCAATAGCAAAATTTCTCCTTCCACATAGGTGATCACATGCCAATGTTCAATATCTTCAAATTATAATACCTCCTATAGGCTGAACTTAGTAAATCATACATTTTGGTTGTCACTTGCCCTATAATTAAGAACAATGTTAATACTATTAAACCAAATGATAATTCCAAACAGATATTTCAGTCTCCCCAAAAGGAAAAAGGAAATTGAAAACTTCTGAATATTAATAGGGTCTGTTATCTAAACAGACCTACAAGTTGAAGGCATCTCAAGAGTGTAAAATAAATCACCAAAAACCAAATTACAAGTACCACACATCTTAAAATCTTCAGAATTCTGTTAAAAATTTAAGAAATCTATAATTAATATTACCTGTCAATTAATCTGCCCTGAAACAAGATGAACTGTTTGTTTTGTTTGTTTGCTTGTTTTGTTATTTAAGATGAACTGTTTTAAAGTAAAGTCTGTGGAACTCACTCAATTTCATAGGACCGTACATAAAACTGGAGAACATGTGCTCTAGCCAAGCAGGGCCTGAGCTTAATTTGATTCTCTCAGATAAATTCATGGAAAGTTGGTTCTGCTTTGTTCACAACAGGCATTGCTAGGAATGGACAACACATCCACTTTGAGAATCTGAAAAACACTACCTGTGCTGAATAAATCTCTACAATTCCAAAATAAATTTCTAAAAATTTAAGTTATACCCTTCCGGTCAATAATAAAATGTCATTTAAAATTATAATATTTCAGGGGCCGGCCCGGTGGCGCACTGGATGGTGCGCCGCTTGGGAAGCGCGGCGGCGCTCCCGCCCGAGGGTTCGGATCCCACATACAGACCGGTTCCCGCTCACTGGCTGAGCGAGGCGCGGGAGCAACACCGAGGGTTGCAATCCCGTTGCCGGTCCCCGGTCCGGTACGGGGGCAACACTGAGGGTTGTGATCCGTTACCGGACACGGAAAAAGACAAAAAAAAAAAAAAAATTATAATATTTCAAAATATGTACCGAAGTCTGATTTTTTTTAAAAAGAGCAATCACATCTTTATTTCATCAATGAAGAAAGAGCTCTTCTAAACTAGAATGTTTACAGCGATTTTCAAAACGTAATGGTTGACAGTTCCCACTTCTTTAAGTGGGGAAAGTAAACTACTTTATAGGGTGGTAAGATATTTATTTAGGGCTTGCTCATATTCAAAAACCTAAATCTTCCCACTGTTTCCTTCTCTTCTGAGTTTTCCTTAACTACAGATACTAGATTTGGAAGGGAGATGTGAGGAATATGTAGTTTGATGAGGAGCACAGACTTAGAACTCAAAGAGATCTTATAATTCATCTTCCTGAATCTCTTTATATTACAGATAAGGAAACTGAGACCCAGAGAGGTAAAATTTTTTGTTTACTTTTATGTCCCACCTCCACCTTGAGGTGGGACACATAAACATTTCATATATGTCTTTTCCAGTTCTAAAATGCAAGACTTGATATTATTAAATGGAATAACAGATTTCAGAAATACTCTTTGGAATATTTATGCTTATTAGAAATAGAAATGTCTGTTAGACTGCCTTAAATATTTTTTTATAAGATTAGCGCTCTCAGTGGGTTACTGTGTGCTGCTGATAACACCAAGGTCCAAGGTTTGATCCCTGTACCGGCCAGCCACCAAAAACAAAAAAAAGAAAGAAAGATTGAGGCTACCTCATTCCATTATATCAGAAGACTCTATTTAGGATCAATCTTCATATGGTTTTTTTGAGTTATATACAGGGTTACTGACTGCTTGGAAAGTAGAAAAGAACCAAGAAATAACTCTGGAAAAACCTTTAGGAAAATAAAATGAATTAATAAATAACTATTTACAGTTCTCCAAATGTTTGACAAATCTTCAGACATTCATAAAAATGGACTGGAAGAAGGGACTAGGGCTTACTAATTCACAGTCTTTCGGCTATCAAAATTAAACACTGCAAACACTAAAACAAAAATATTTTAAAATGAAGAAGACAGAGTTTGCACATACTTTTCGTGAATCTTCAAGACTCGGTGAACTATAGGAATTTCTCTTCCTTCTATTCTAAAAACAACAATTTCTCCTACTCGTATGGGATCTTCAACTCGATTTGTTAGAAAGAGAAGATCTCCTCTATGAAATGCAGGTTCCATGCTGCCACTGGGAGGGAAGAAGAATATAATGGCAAAAAAGAAACCATGAGATTAAATTTACTTTCCAAATGAATAGTCAACACAATAATCAAAAGTACCACCTTTAGAGTACATTCAACATCTTAGTGACTGTATTAACATAAATGTGTATTTCTCTCAAAATATGGCTTCCCCAGATTAATGAATTACACTAAAGGATTTTTAAATTATTAGCCTTTATAACTAGTTCCATTTCAAGTATTCAAAAGAGCTTAAATCTTGAAAAGGGCAGCGTTACTGATTCTTTAACCTTTTAAAATTTCAAATGACAAACAGAATATAAAAGAATGAACTTTAAAAACACTGCTCTTATTCTCACTTCATCTGAAAACACTAAACATATTCAAATATTCAAATGAGAACTGGACCATCTTCTGCCATTTATAAAGATTCAGACCAAGATGACCTTATGGGTTCAACCCATTAAGAAGAAAAAACAACTCATCAAGTCAAAGAACAGTCGGCTACAGAGATAGCACTTGTGTTATCAATTTATTTATTTATTTATTTTAAAAAGAGAAACAAGAAAACCAAGGACTACAGCAGAGAATTTTACCTAAGAATTTCAGAAACCAAGAAAGGATGCAATTCTATAGTAATAAGTGAGATAAACTTCTCCAGAACATCTTCTTACCTCTCACCTGCTCTACCTTATACTAAATTCTAAAAAAGGTCCTAAGATATTTGCACTAATTAATGAAACCTTTTTCTTCTATAAGTAGCCCATCAGTGTATTTTCAGGAACTCAAGCTCTAGTTTTCAATAACAATAGCTTTAGTAAGAAGAAAATAGATAAGCAGGAAATAAAATTCAATACAGGAATAATAACAAAGTCCAAATATTTCTGTTTGAAGACTCTAGTCCCTCTGTGTAAGGGGATATGGCAGTGGTTCCCAAACTTTGCTGCACATCGGAATGACCTGGGAAACTTAAAACATCCCAATGCCCAGATCATATGCCAAATCATTTACATCAGAATGTCTGGGAATGGGAGGCACACATCAGTATTTTTTAAAGATCCCCATGAATCCAATGAATAGCAAAATTTGGGAACCACCAGGAATATGGATCTTTGGTCCATGTTTTATCTTAAAACTTTTGTTACAGTTCCTTACAGGCAGTGAGTTCTCTTTTCAGAAGGTGATCAGACTGAAGATATAATGTGTTTGGTGAAATGATATAGAAGATAATCTAGACACACAGTTTTCAAGTTTTCAATTTTTTTTTTTTGGCGGCTGGCTAGTACAGGGATCTAACCCTGGACCTCGGTATTATCAGCACCACACTCTAACTCTTTAAAAATTACTGACACTCTTTGTTCCAATAAAACCTTACTTAAAAAGTATATAAATAAAACAGATAACAGCTGAGTTGCTCTGCTTGAATGACTCATTGTAATCAAGCACTTACTGTATGCAAAGTACTATTCTAAGTTTTTATGAAAGTATCTGCAAAAGAACTCTATGATGTAAGTACTATGATTATTTCAACTTACAGACAAGGAGACTGAGGCTTAGAAAGGCCTAAAGTTATACATTAATAAAATGATAAAGATGAACCAAGGAAGTCCAAGAGAATCTACTCTCATTGTGTTAAATTGCCTCTGAGCCACTCTAGAATTTTAAGCAGGGACTACCATAATCATATTTGCATTGAAGAAAGATCACTTCAAAAAACAAAAAAGAAAGACAGAAAAAGGAAAAGAGAAAGATCACTTCAGAAGCTATAGAGTATGTAGAAGAAACTCAAATATTTGTTGAATTGAGTAAACTGAAAAAGATGAGAAGGTAGATTGGGAGATCAGTTGTCCTGTTTATTATAACTGAATACTTGGAAACTCTTATAAGTGTTATTTAAAATTCTTTGTAAAGGTGGATACAAGTGAATGATAAGGAGAGAAAAATAGAGAAAAGGATGCACATACAAAATTACCTCAATTGTGTAAAAAATATACCTGAAAAAGACTAAAATGTTAATAGTGATTATATTTCAGGATTATGGGTGACTTAGTTTTACCTGGTTTTTCAACATTTCACATAATGAAAATATATTAATTTATTTCTGATTATAAAAGCATTTCTGTAAAGATTACTACAAAATCCCTGGCAGGAAATGATGGGGCCTCAACACAGAACAACAGCAGGGAGGACAGCTATGAAAGGGTAGATGAGAAAGAGAGAAAATAACAAATTTGGTGGCCAAGTGGATACGACAGAAGGGGGAATCGGGAACGACTCCTAGGTTTTTAACACTGGCAATTGAGTAGATGGCAGTGACAGTCACAAAAACAGGAGAGAGAGGTTTTGACAAAAGGAGATGAATTTCATTTTTATTACATAGAGTTTCAAGTGCCTGGGCAACATCCAGATGGAGATGTCCAGTGTAGGGTGAAAACAAGAATCTAGACTTCTAGAAAGAAAGATGAGCAATAAAAAGATTTAGAAATTCAGATATAGATGGCAATTAAAAACACATAAAAGTATGTAGTAAGAGGACCATTAAAGAAATAAACTGGGGAAAATTTTTAAAACATTAAGTGAATTATTAGTAAACTTCTTACTATAATTTAATTAAACTATACTTTTAAATTTAACACATCAAACATGACAAACTGTTATATATAAAATATTTTAACATTTTTTAACTTATTTCAGCTCTGTGTAGGAAAAAAAATCAACTTTGAATGTTCCCTGAAATTTCAGTTAATTAATAAAATAAATAATATGAAAGTATTTTATTTACTTTTACTGTCAAGGCTTTACAAAAGTCATAAAAGTGGTTTCTCAGTCAACCTGGGTACTCTGAGGCATATTTGGTTCCAGGTAAAAAATTATATTCCTTGAAATTACATGAAACCCTGGACAGGTAAAACTTACCTGGCGACCCAATTACCTTTCTCTAATGACTGCTCATTCTAGGACCAGTCTCTCTAATATGACCAAGTTTTCCTCTAATATAATCTGGTCTCTTTTAATTTCTTTTCTTTATTCCAGATTGACAATTACAAAAGCTCAGTATACAAACAACCTAGCTACCAAATAACTTAGTCCAGACACCAGTTTTAAGTACCAAATGATGTTACAAATTTTTCAGCTGTAGCAGAAGTAAGCTGCTTTCAGGATCATAAATGTTTTGAGCAGGTCCTCTAGTCTAATCCTGTCTACTCCAACATCCTGTTTAGAGGTTGATTGTCCTTAAACAGCTCCACTGAAGAGAACTAAATCTGAAATAATCCCAGAAGAATCTCCAAAAGAAGTCTCTTTAGGCCTTCTGTCTACATCTTTTCCCCAGAGTGCCAATTAGTGTCATGTCTCCTTCTGTTAGTGTTTAAACATTTCACAACTTGGAGCTCTCTACTGAATTCAAGACAGTCTAGGAATTTAGGGCCACATAATTTTAGAACTGGCAAGGTCCTCTGACATCATCTAGATGTAGCCTTCATTTTTTTTTTTTTTTCTTTTTGTCTTTTTTCGTGTCCGGCAACGGATCGCAACCCTCAGTGTCACGCCCGTACCGGACCGGGACCGGCAACGGGATCGCAACCCTCGGTGCTGCGCCCGCACCTCGCTCAGCCAGTGAGCGGGAACTGGTCTGTATGTGGGATCCGAACCCTCAGCGGGAGCGCCGCCACACTCCCAAGCGGCGCACTGTAGCAGTGCACCACCGGGCCGGCCCAGCCTTCATTTTATAGATGAGGAAACTATGGCTTAGTGAATTAAGTGACTTGCCCAAGGTTATAGTTGAACAATGAAAGTGCTAGAGGCCAGAGTCTCTATACTCTCTGAGTAGTACATTAAGTGCTTTCCAGCTAATAAGATCCATACATTTCTTTGGATGTCTAAAATTATAGTTGCATTTGATTATTAATAAAGATAGAATTAAGATACAAGTACATGTAAGAGTGTAAGTAAGGTACAACCAAGAAACTGGAGACCCAGTGCCTCTAACCACTTGTTGAGCTGGAAGTATATTAGAGCATAACAATGAAAGAGTCAAATTTGTCTTGTTAAGAGTAATACTGGCTGGCCAGTTAGCTCAGTTGGTTAGAGCGTGGTGTTATAACACCAAGGTCAAGGGTTCAGATCCCCATACAGGCCAGCCACCAAAAAAAAAAAGTAATGTTAAGTACTCTTATCACAAAAATAAATAAATAAAGAGGGAGAAAGGGAGGAAACTTTTGAAGGTAATGGATATATTTATGGCAAGATTATGGTGATGGTTTCATGGGTGCATATTTATCTTCAAACTCATCAAGTTGTACATATTGAACATGTATAGCTTGCTGTAGGCCAATCATACCTCAATAAAGTGGTTTAAAAAAAGAGTAATGTACTATTACCTATACTCTAAATAATGTTAATGATTCAATTTGTCTTACATTTGTACTCCATTATGTGCAGAAAGGATTTGAGATGGCTTACAAAATTAAGCCCAAAATAAGACAGAACTGTAATGATTCAATTAAATAACCAAGTGGTAATTTTCCAAAAATGGGTTACTAAATTAGGTTTAAAAATCACTAAAAGTATGAGTACAAAGATAGGAAAGAAAGCAGGGTGGAGAAAAAAATTCAGTACTATTTATCACCTTAAGAGATGGTATTAATACCTTCAAAATTCCTGAAGTCTAGTTTAGAAGTGATATTTAAAGGTCAGCAGGAAACATGGAAATAATTAGCCATGCTTCTGTACTGACACTGAGAACATGTTGCAGAAAAACTCCTAATTTGTCTTAACTTGTGGAGGTACTATAAAATTTAATGAACTAGCAACTAAATATTGGGCCTAATGTATCAAAGTGAAGAGTGTATCAAAGTAAGAAGATACAAGAATTTCAGGAAAATAAAGTCCAATGAAACATTGTCTTAAGGGATGTGCCAAAAATAAAGTTCACATAGTAACCTTTTTATAGAAAGGTCATGAGCCTTTTAGGATTCTGAATGGGAGTGCCTAACAAGGTGAGAATTTCTCACAATTGATTAGTAACTAATTTTCTTCCAGGCCTTCTTCTGGAAAAGAATAATTTCTAAGGGACTGATATACCAGTTATTCAATATCTCAATTTTTTCTCCCAAGTAATGCCATGCAATTACATGCTTTAAAAAGAAAAATTGTTACCTGAGTACCACTACAATTGGACTTTCACTTCCAGTTATGACCATTAACCCCTTCCAGATCATTAGTGCTGAGGAGACAATCATTCCAAAATTTAGCACTTGATAATATAGCTGTAAGAAAAAAAGAGATCAGATCCACCATTATTCCCACTCAGGAAAAGCAATGCAGAGTAGTATCAATTTAAAAGTTTCAAGTAGTACTATTAAGGCAGCTGAAATTCTGAGACATTCTTTAAAATACCGTAATACTTATACCATTAGCACTGAAAACAGCTCTCCTTCTCTCACCCGAAGTACCCTGCTCCATTTTGTTTGCTAAAACACCAGGTACATTTTCTGTAAACAAGTTATTACTTTCAGAAACTATCAGACAAGTTATTTTATTTGGGCTTCATAACCATTTACTTAAATACAATCACACTCATGCTATATACCAGCTGACAGAAATATCTCTGCTTCTGAACTCCTCTAGTACTTAATTTTCCACGACACTTATCCCTTGATAATCATGGGACAGTTCATGACATTTAACTCTATCCCCTCATTTAACAGTTGAGGAAACTTCACCTTAAAGAAAAGAGACTTCACCAATGTCTTTCAGCTTGTCAGTCAAAGTCAAGACTCGAAGGCCAAACTTCTGTCTTATTAAATTTCCACTACTGCACAAACTCTTAAATTCCATGACTTGAATAAGCATATATAATACCAGAAAGACATTTCAAGTGAGGAAAATAATGTGAGCTAATTGTGAGCTAATTGTATTGGGCTGGAAATGGGTAAAAGTAGAGAGGATGACTGGACACCACGGCAAATAGTTCAAGGAATGAAAAGATGCTGCTGGAAAGTTCTAGGAAAAATCTGAAAAAGCGTACTAAGGTCCAATTATGGAGAACTTTAAATGAAGGACTGAAAATATGGTCCTGAAAAAACATTCATAACATACTTTAAAGTGAAAAAACAAATGTTTCAAAAATATGTACAATATAAGCTTTCCATTATTTAAAAAAATATATATGCATGTGGATGTTCTACAAGTCAACTGTCCTATCTCTTCAAAAATTCAATGCCATAGAAAAAAACAGGTGTAAGACTGTTTTGAATTAAAAAGGACTAAAGGGCTGGCTACTTAGCTCACTTGGGAGAGTGTGGTCCCGGTAACACCAAGGTCACAGGTTTGGATCCCTGAACCAGCCAGCCAACAAAAAGCCAAACCCCCCAAAAAAGGCAAAAAAGTACTAAAGAGCCTTAACAACCAAATGTAATACAAAACCTCTGACTGGATTTTAGTTCAAAAAACCAAAAAGCATAAGGAAAAAAAATCCCCAGGGTTGGGCCTGGTTAGTACCTGGATGGGAGACCGCCTGGAAATACTGGGTGTTGTAGGCTTAAAAAAAAAAAAAAAAAAGTCCCAACATAAAAGAGGGGCCAACATTTTGGGGAAACTCAAATATGACTTGAATATTAAATGATCATAGGGAATTATTGTTAATTTTCTTAGGTGTGATAATGGTATTGCAGTTATGTATCACACTGTCTTTATTCATAGGAGATGCATGTTAGTAGTAGTTAGCTAGTAGTTGTAGTTAGAGGTGAACTATTACATCTGTGATTCACTTTCGAATGATTCACCAAAAAAAATATATTTATATGCATGTATGCATACATAAATATACATAGAGTAAATATGTTAACAATGGTTGAATCTGTGTGGTAACTTATAGGTGTTCATTGTACTATTCAATTTTTCTTAAAAAAAATATAGAAGAAAATGGAAGAAATAAATGTTCGTAGTTAAATCTGGGGATATAGCACCAGCCAATTTTTATTTGTTTCATTTTATTTACCCGTATTTTCTACTTTTTTCCTTTTTAAATCAATTATTTCTATCAAAATATTATAAACACATATATAGAAGCAACATAATAAAAACTAGTAATATCCTAGTCATGACAGGCCACCTACAGCAACCATTTTCATCTCTTCTAAGCTACTTCCTCTGGTAGTTACCCTCATGCTTCTAAAAACTAATTGTTTCTCTTGTTTTATAACAAATAGTTAATAGACGATGTTCAAAATTTATAATGAGGAATTCAGCCCTTTTATACCATTTTCTCTTTTCCCCCCCAACAATTAACCTGTTTTTTCTTGCATACTTAAAAAAAAGTTTCAAGTTTCATATTCTTATAAATGCATATAGTTTGGCTGGCCAGTTGGCTCAGTTGGTTAGAGCATTGTGTTATAAACCAAGGTCAGAGGTTTGGATCCCTGTATCAGCCAGCCACCAATAAATAAATAAATTAATTAATTAAGTTAATCTCTGAAAGGATACACAAGAAACTAGGGACAGTGGCTGCCTGTGGAAAGAGGAACTAGAAATCAGGGTAAATGGAAAATACTTTCCAATATATATGCTTTATGTTTTTTAAAAGTTTTACTAAATGAAGAATCACCTATTCAAAAAAAATGGTTTAGGTTTATTTACTTAAATCATGCTAATGACCAGAACACTATTTGGCATTTCAATTTCAAGTATGAATACAAGTGTGATTAGTTACATCTATCAATGAAATTAATGTCATCTTTAAAGTAAAAAAGAAAATATAAACATTTTCTAAGAAACACTTGAAAATATTTGCTGTTCTTTGAGTAATGGAGTAATATGAGCATATGGGTAATCTGAAACCCAGTTTGACACTCCCATTTACGGGTGAGGAAACTGAGGCACGGAGAGGCTAAGTGATAGGTTCAAGGCTGCACAGCTATTGGCAGGCAAAGTAGCGACTACTAGAACTCGGGTCTCCTAAATACCACCTCTTTAATATGGGAGCTTTTTAAAAGACAAAAGTGATCTTTTTATTCAGAAGACTGAATTGAGGAAGTAGAGTGGGAGACGGCAAAAGTAGGAAAAGTAGCTTCTAAGAAGCAATGGCAGTCAACCAGAGGATAAAGTCAGGAATTCAGCCAAGACTCTATTTTCCAAACTTTCCACACTAAAAATATCACCCACACTAGTGGTTAGAACAATAGATTCTAGGCTCCAATTCAGAACCTCTGAGGGAGGGGTTGTAGGATTCCCCAAAAAGTACAATGTATAATTCCACGATCCCTCATTCAAAACCCTTGGGGATCAGATGTGTTTCAGAATTCAGAACTGGCCAAATGTTGGAAAGGTAATACTCGCATGTACCATGTGTTACATAACACTCTTAGCAGGGTCTATGACAATATCCCATAATCAAAAACATTAAGATTTCTACAGCAAAACATAAAAATTCACAATGAAATAAATAAAAACTAAAAATAGCCACACATCAATCAGTTCAAGTCTGTTTTTCTGAGGAAAAACTTTCCATTTTCAGAAGGGCTCAGATGTAGAACTGTTAGAACAGTTGCCTAACAAGATACTAATAAGATAACTGCTCTTTAAAAGAAAAATGAACAACTTAAAACTTATGATTTTCTGTGTCTCTGCACGGAGGTCACTATCCCACCCACAATTGCCCTTCTCCTCTTTCCTCAGACGTACATACTATCTTTTACTAAGAATCATTATTGTGATTTTTTTTTTCCTTTTTGTCTTTTTTTTCGTGACCGGCAACGGATCGCAACCCTCAGTGTCGCGCCCGTACCAGACTGGGACCGGCAACAGGATCGCAACCCTCGGTGTTGCTCCCGCGCCTCGCTCAGCCAGTGAACGGCCGGTCTGTATGTGGGATCCGAACCCTCGGCAGGAGCGCCACCACGCTTCCCAGGCGGCACACTGTAGCAGTGCACCACCTGGCCGGCCCCATGTGAATTTTATCTAACCATCAAGATCATCATCATTTTTATTAGAGAAAGAAATTAAAAGTCCCTCACTGTGTGTAACTGGTATGTTCCTTAAAATGTGCCTATTTGTATGCCACTTGACTGAGTCAAAACCTAGACAGGAGCACACTATTTACTAAAACAAACATTCCATCTGAGCAAAAGTTTGAAAAGTTTCATACTTTTCTCCCTTTCTTTTCATCCTTCTTTTTCCTGCCAACAATCTTTACTCAAAAGTCAGATTGCCTCCCTAGTCCCCCCTTTTCTTTATGATCACATCTGAAATGCTTATGAATGTATATTATCAGAAAAAGTGTTATTTCTTTCTGGTACTGGCAGAAATAAGGTGGCAGCTGCCTAACCTTCTCATACCACTTGGCCACATCAAGCTAACTATTAATAAGACATTGTGGCATATGTAGAATAACAACCACAGAATTGAATAGCCCTATTTTTTTTTCCTAAGAAGTGACAGGAACAACATGTTCCTCAATTCTCAAGGTGAAATTAGAAAAGAATGTTATTAAAACGAATCAAATCTCTAAATAACATCTCTCAGTAGGTGTGGTATGGGGATTTGTGCATACTGTTTTTTTTCTTTTTAATTTTTAGGAAGTAAGGTATAGAACCCTCCCCAAAAGTCCTGTGACTGGAATAAGCCACAGGACAATTTATAATCCACTCTAAATAATATATAACAAGGTTTTAAGAAAAGCCTAGGACAGAAAGTTCAGCAAGATAAAAGTTGATAGTAAGTTTACATACTACAATTTGACAGGCTACAATCTGGAAGTTATGTCCTGCATATTTATCTACTACAGTTAAGAAATACACCATTATGATTTCTATTCTTGTAAGAGAGATTTGTAAGAGAGAATACAGGATATTTTCACTGAAATCATATTTCCAGCAATTTCAAGCAAAGATAGTAGTGACCATGGAAACAAAAATGTGTCTTAGAGCTACAAAACAGCAGTTGGCCTAAATCCTAAATGCCATTTATCTTAAGAACACAAACTAAGAGACTCATTAATCCATAATCACAATTCTTTTTTTTTTTTTTCCTGTCTCTTGTCTTTTTCCGTGTCCGGCAACGGATCGCAACCCTCAGTGTTGCCCCCGTACCGGACGGGGGACCAGCAATGGGATCGCAACCCTCGGTATTGCGCCCGCACCGCACTCAGCCAGTGAGCGGAACCGGTCTCCACATGGGATCCGAACCCTCGGCGGGAGCGCCGCCGCGCTCCCAAGTGGTGCACTCTCCAGTGCGCCACCGGGCCAGCACAGCAGCTTCCTTCTAATAG